GAGACGACCCTAAAGCTAGGCTTGTGTCTATGCCTATTATTGGGGAACCGTTTTTCCGTGTAGCGTTGACATTGTGGGTCCACTGGCCAGGACTAGTCCATCCGGAAAGAAGTATATTCTTACCATGGTGGACTATGCCACCTGTTACCCAGAGGCTGTAGCTCTGTCCAATATGGAGGCAGCGACAGTAGCTGATGCCCTGGTTAATATTTTCACGAGAGTGGTGTTCCCCAAGGAGATTCTCTCCGACCAGAGAACCCAGTTTACCGCTGTGCTCACCCAGCAACTGTGGAAGGTGTGCAATATTAAACCCTTGCTTAGTTCACCTTACCACCCCCATACTAATGGTCTCTGTGAGCGCTTTAATGGAGCTCTCAAGCAGATGCTGAGGACCTTTACTGACGCCCTCAGAGACTGTGAGAGATTCGTGCCTCACCTGTTATTTGCTTACAGGGAGGTGCCCCAGTAGTCTACTGGGTTCTCCCCCTTTGAGTTACTCTATGGGAGAAGGGTCCGTGGACCCCTAGATCTCACTAGAGGACACTGGGAGGGAGAGACAGAGCAGGAGGGGACCCCCATAGTGGGGACCGCCTGGAACAGCTGTCTCTGATAATAAGAGAGAAACTCCAGGTGGCCCAGGGGAGACAGAGGAGATTATATGATCGGGGTGCCCAGCAGTGGGTCTTCCAGGTTGGGCAGAAGGTCCTAGTGCTCAAACCTGTAAAGACAGATAAGATGCAAGCATCTTGGCAGGGCCCGTATAAAGTGGTAGCTCAGGTGTATGATACTACGTATGTTATTGCCAGATGTGCAGATGAAAGGTTCCAGCGATCCTTTCATGTGAACATGCTGAAGGAATACCAGGAAAGACAGGAGGATGTTACTGCAGTACGTGCCCCTGCTGCAGACAACTCAGAAATCTTACCTCTCCCTGACCTATTAGAGAAGGAACCCCAGACTGACTTGACTAGTCTTGTACACTAGACTTGACTAGGCTATGCACCACAGAGAAGGAACAGGCGAAGCAGCTTCTGTGGGAGAAGCAGGCGACCTTCTCCCAAGAACCCGGCTATACAACCCTAGCTGTACATAAGGTAGAGACCCCTGGTTAGAACCTCCTGCGACAACCCTCTTACCATATCCCTGAAGCAGTCCGAGAAGGAATGCGGAAGGAGATACAGGAGATGACCCAACTAGGGGTCATTGAACACTCAGACAGTCCTTGGGCCTTGCCTGTAGCCCTGGTGCCTAAGAAAGATGGGACCACCCGGTTCTGTGTGGATTACAGGCGGCTCAAGAAGACCACCACTGACGCCTACCCAATGCCCCAGGTAGACGAACTACTAGATCGCATCGCCAGGGGGCGCTATCTGACCACCATAGACCTGTGTAAGGGTTACTGGCAGATCCCCCTGGCCGAGGATGCCATCCCCAAGTCGGCCTTTGTCACCCTGTTTGGCTTGTACCAATTTAGAGTCATGCCATTTGGGATGAAAAATGCCCCGGCTACCTTTCAGCGCATGGTGAATAGGTTCCTCGATGGCTTCCAGGATTTTGCTTGTGCATACCTGGATGACATTGTGATCTATAGTGGGTCTTGGGAAGAACACCAGGTCCATGTAGGGGTGGTACTGAACAAGATTCGGGCTACTGGCTTGACCTTGAAGCCAGAATAGTGCCATCTAGGTATGGCTGAGGTCCAGTACTTGAGGCACAGAGTGGGATGTGGGAGCCAGAGACCAGAGCCAGCCAAGGTAGAGGCAGTGGCTAACTGGCCCACACCCCACACTAAGACCCAGATACTGGCTTTCTTGGGGACTGCAGGGTACTACCGACGCTTTGTCCCCAACTACAGCGCTATAGCCAAGCCCCTGACAGACCTGACGAAAAATAATTTACAGAGACAGTTCCTGTGGTCTCCAGCTTGTGAAGCCGCATTTGTTGCTCTCAAACAAGCACTTGTAAATGCCCCTGTCTTGGCTGCCCCAGTACCTAACAAACGTTTTCTCGTCCACACAGACGCTTCCATGTTTGGACTGGGGGCTGTGCTAAGCCAAGTCGGGGAGGATGGAGGAGAGCACCCTGTCGCATACCTCAGCAGAAAGCTACTACCACGGGAAGTGAGCCATGCGGCAGTGGAGAAGGAATGTTTGGCCCTGGTCTGGGCAATAAAAAAAATGAACCCTTATCTGTACGGACAGGAAATTTCCCTTGTGACTGACCACAACCCATTGGTCTGGCTTAACCGGGTCTCAGGAGACAATGGCAGGTTGCTGCGGTGGAGTTTAGCCCTGCAACCATATAACTTTACTATCAGCTATAGACCCAGTAGGCAGAATGGCAATGCTGATGGGTTGTCGCGACAAACAGACATCACTCCGGCCTCCTAGTTCCGGTCATCCCCAAGTTGACCCGCAAAGGGTCAAGCCGGGTCTGCCATAGTGTCCCACAAGGAGGGAGCCGTGTGAAAGAACCATCTGTCTGTGAACTACTTCTATTCCCCTTGGTTTCATCTGTTTGTTCGGTTAATTGCCTGTCCGTACCCCCGTTTGTTTATTTCCTTAACTCCCGAATAAACTGCCAAACAAACGGCCGGGCACCCAGCATGGAAGTGTTCTGCTGGTTAACCTCTTGGCCCCATTCGAACGTTGTGGTTAACCACAGACACCTCTTAATTGTCCAAGGTAGGCCGGGTGATCGTTGTTCGTATGCAGACCATAAGGCGGCGGCCATCTTGGACGCACGTATGCCCAGCGGTGTTCGTTGACGATTGTCTGGAACTAAAAATGGACACTATTTCTCACGAACACCGCTGAAGCCGGCGACCTCCCTTCCCTGTCATCCGGCATACGAACACCGGCCCTGTGATGTATGGGTGGTAGGGCTGTGTATGAGTGTGTGAGTGTATGTATTGTGATGTATGGGGATTGGGCAGTTAGGCTTTTTTTGGCTGTGAGTGATGCACTTCCTTTCTTTTGGTTCTTTACTTCCTGTTCCTGTTGGCAGTTGGTGGAATGTTCCAGGGATTTGAAATGGCGGCTGCAGAAACCCTGTGTAACAAGGCTGCAATATGAAGATCCTGTTATATATGTATTAATAAAGTAAGTATTTCGTTATACAGGAATTATTGACTGATTTGTACAAACATCACAGGCCCGTTCTGAACTTTTTCTGCACGAATGGACTTAACCCAGATAGCTATGCCATGGAGCCCATTCATATACCGAAAGACTATGTGAAAGATTTTGGCTCCATGACAATTGAACTGTATGTATGTGATCTGAGCGCCATTCGGTAATAATGTGCGCTCAGATCTAAGCTATCTGGGGATACGTTAATTGTACCTAGTGCATTTGGTATTTTTCCTGTTATACATTTTTGTGTGTTTTACTGTTACATGTAAAATGGCGATTTGCCTCTATCCTGGGAGATAATTGGATTACTTCCACAATTATCTCCAGGATAGGGAGGAGGGTCATTTCAGCTAAAGGGGAGTGTTTATGTCTGAGCCACTGTGATTGGCTACTGTATTCTTATTATCCCAGTTTTCCACCAAGTCGCCTAGGGGAGTGTCCACCTGGTGGAATATCGCATAAATACCGGGCAGGTAGCCCACATTTAATCAGATCTCTGCTTAACCCTCAATACGGAGCTTGGTCTCGTACTTGGAGGTATTGGATTGGTATGGTTTACTTGTTCGGCTGTTTGATACGTGAAGGATTTCCAATGGTTCCTGTTCGGCTGATTAGAGCTTTTGTTAGCTGTCTCTCCATTCATAAGGTACCTTTTATACCTGGGTGTACCGTAACAATCAGTATCCCTACTGCAAACCAGGACATAGCTCAGAACATCTACAGCTGAAGCAGTACCTTAAGCACGTCTGAATTTTAAAAGCTCCCTACTGCAAACCAGGACATAGCTCAAAACATCTACAGCTGAAGCAGTGCCTTAAGCAAGGTAGACAATGGAGGACACTATCAACCCCTAATATTAGACGCTATCATTTTATTGCATTTGAACTACTTGTGTATTTTTTTTAAACCATGTATCTTTAACCACTATTTCTTTGTCATTGTAATATACCTGGTGCTTTGTAGAATATTGCATATTCTATGTTTCTATTGATTATATATATGGATGTGTGGATTGACATAAGTAACAGATGGTATCAATAAGTCACAAGGCTTTCTTTGTCCGAGAGCTCTGGAATGTGGATTCGGGGGTCTTTTCCTTATATGGCTAGAGTTAAATGCTGACGTTAGTATTAGCACATCTATATAGTAACAGAGGGACACGAGGTCTCTCAGTCTTAGTCCTGTCTTGGCTTGGCTCTCGGCTCTGTACAACGATGTAACTCTCCCATCAGAAGTCCAGCAATTACCATCTGCTGTTGAATGTCCATTATCCTGTAACATCATGTATTATGTTTTATTATGTATCCGTAACAAAGAATAAACCTGAAGAAACCGTAAGTCAGATTACGTATTACTACTTTTCAATAATATAGACATATATTATTGTGGCGAGCATTTGGCCCAAGAATATATATACAAAAGACGTATATATATCAATCAGCTGAAGACAAGAAGAAATTAAGAAGATTCCACATGAACATCCATTCATCTACATTTTTTACATTGGCTAGCCTGCCAGTCTTCTATTCAAAGTTTTGTTCCCACTTCAAGGGGGGAGAGAGAAGAATCGAGTTACAAAGCTATTTTGGAACTGGGAAAACAAACTTGAAGAGAAAAAAAGAATCTAGACTGACTGTTATAGAAGAACTGTATTTGTAAGAAAAAGAAAGTTTTCAAATCACAAAGACTGTACAAGACTATTTTCTACAACTGAGACAAAAAGCACAAGATACAACGTGAATTCAAGCAAGCACGTGGCAGAGATTGGCACGCATCCAGAATCAAGCGTCCAGAACTGCGCAGCTGTGTGGATGAAGCAACGAAATAGACAGAGATAACTGATCTGGTGAGTAACATGGAATTCATAAATGATATTGCAGAGAAAAGTAAATTGCAGTTTGCATGTAATAGCAGCTATTCAGATGCTGTATTGTGGCAATCTTTATACACACAATGTGAAATTGCCAATAGTGAAATTGCCAAGAAATTGTTTGTTAATAAGAAAAAACAAAAGATCAGAAATGTTATGAAACTAGTCTGTACTTACAATGCATTGATTTGTAAACGAGATGCAGGTCAAGACAATTTAGAATCAGCAGATAAAGAAGTAGATTTGAATGGGTTAACAGAAGACAAATCAGATTTAAATGAACAGTGTAACAATGTAACAGAGAGAACACTGTCAGAAAAAGTCTGTGAATTAGAGGATAGAGTTGAATTAAGAAATGATCTTATTTGCCAGCTTGGAAATGAAGTTAAACTAGTGTGTGTTAATACAAGAAAAATACAGGCACAGAATCTAATCCCAGAACCAATAGATACTGAAAATGTATCCTCACAGAGTGATTTGCAGAAATGCAAATTTCAAGACAGAACTGCAAAACTTAATTTGAAGATCCATGAACAATTAATGAAAATTGTGAAATGTATTCCAGTTTATGACACGTAAGTGGATGCATTCACTAATGCTGAAATGTTTGAGTCTAATTTAGACAAATACAGCCTAAATGACGAACAACGGAATAGACTATTTCAAATATGGCTGCCGACTCAAATGGCATGTAGGCTGACCGCGCCTGTAAAATTCGAGGACAATGATGAAATAATATATGGAAATAAGCAAGACAGATTAACACAATTAATAAAATTAACAGGGAATGATTTTGCAGACACTGAAATGTTGGAAAAACTAAAACCACACAAAGGGGAGGATATATTTAGTTTTCTTGTAAAATTTGAAAATGCATATAGACTTGTTGGTGATTTTTCTGAAGATCAGTTAATTAATGAATTTGTGAAAAAATTTCAAGATCTAGATCCAACTGCAATTGTGTTAGCAAGAGAAAAAAGCACTTTGACAGAAGTAGCTTTGTTCTTGGATAACTTAAGGAGGGAAACCAATAATGAAGGGGTTAAAATGACTTGTGGAATTAGGCAAAGAAAGAAGTGCAGATTTTACAGCCCTCCTCCTTCTTCTTCTAGGACAGAGTGTAGAGTGATACAGACAGCTGAGCCCCTCCCAATTTATTCAACTAGAAATTGTAGAGTTAATCAAAGACAGAATATAACCCCTAAAGTTATTTGTTTTTGGTGCAATAAACAACATTATTTAAGGTCTTGCAGATATTTTATCCGAGATATCAAATCAAAAGCAAATGAGAAATTAAATTTGTTGATTGAAAATTTTGACAGAGAAAATACATGTGGAGATAAATCAATTAAAGCCTTTCCTTGTAAACTTATAATCAGACAAATAAAAGCAATTTTAGCTAAATCGAAATTAAGAGACAGACAAGCAATGCAGTGTAACACAGAAAGTTATAAGAATCAGATAACTTCAAGAGATACGATCAGTTTAGGGAATAAGCATGGATATGTGTGCCAACAGATGTACACAGGCTGATTCCAGAATTAAAAACAGCACACAAGAATAGAGATCTATGTTAGTTTGTTGTTATAATGAATTGTTAGTCTGAACTGTTTTTTCATTGTTTTATGTGTGTTATAAGAAAGTATTAGGTAATTAATTAAAATAAAAATTTACATCAAGTTTGCAAATATGGCATAATGAAATATACTAATGTAGCAGTTAGGAACATGCAATGTTATATTGGGTGTATGCAATTATACAGTAACTCCAATCATTTTACAGAAGAAAAAACAATGGATATATTCCTTGTTACTTCTGAGGTTGATTTAAAATCTTTGATTTAATTCATGAGAATGAGATTTTAATGTCATGACTGATAATGGATTACTATATTTTGCAAAGCCTGGACATACATATATTTTGACTACATAGAAGACAAAAGTTTTGATAGAATAAAACCTAGATTTACAAATACATTTGATGAAGGAAACAATATATGTTTTTTGTAGTTTGTTTCATGTGACAAAATGGTGCCAGTGTTAAGACAAAATGGCTGCTATTGCTAAAGTATAGTGGAAAACAATATTTTCTTGTAACATCTGACATGTGATTAGGTTATACCTCCAGATTATTAAACAGTTTAAAGGGGGGTATGATTAATAAGGTATGATTAATAAAAAGTTTGTCAAAATTAAAATGTGTAGAAAAGATATTTTGATATAAAGGAAATTTAAAGATTATACATTACATGGCAGAAATGCAATGACCACTAGATGGTAGATCTCATGAGAAGAAATTAGTATGTTTTGTGTAGTCAATATAATTCAATGTTAAACTGTATAATAATAATGAGATATAAACATTGTAAGCCATTGTATTGATGCTGCACATGTTATTTGTTTTAATGTAGGTAAAGCGTGACAGATCCATGTGGCAATAAATCAGGAAAGCATTCCTTCAGACAACTGGACATCGACTGTTGGAAAGAGACTTTTCATCTGATCTGCAAACTGTGATGGAAGATTCTACAGAGTTCATTTGATACAGAAGATTAACAGACTTACAAAGAAATAAAAGATTGACACTAATATAAATTCCTAAATATTAATGAAGAAGAAAACAGACAATGAAAAGTTATTTAACAGTTATGAGTATTAATACCAAAAGAGAGTACTTATAAATATAACACATGGAATAAAATTATGAAAGGACAGTATTATGGAGAGAACTATTACATTATGACCTATACATAGGATGAGAAGTATCAGAGGTAGATAAAATATGAAGTTGATAAAATAAGGATCATGGTTACTTAATACCACAAAGATTGAGTGCAATAGTATCTCATAGATTAACTATAATGAGTAATTTGTTTATATCGAGGTGAAGTAAAACAAACAATGGTAACATAAGGAAGAAAACTAAGGAAGGATAATTTATATTGATTTATATTAAGTAATTATATACATTAAGAAGGCCTTGGATATAAGAGTTCAGAGATCCAAGAGGAATTGAATTGAATGGAAAGAGTATAGTACACAATTATATTTGACCTAAGTCTATAAAGGTATGGACTAGGGAGAATAGGTTTCTGGATATGATGGTATCCAATGAATACGTTGTTAAATTGTTTTATGATTACCCTGAGTTTGTAAGACACAGACTAGGAATAAGAGTTTCTGGGCAGTATGACCCAAAGTTTATTTTTGTTTATTTTATTTTAGTCAGTTGAAGTGTACAAAGGAATACGGATTGGTCAGAACATTAGGACAATCCTGCGTTTAAGATGTATTACATTAATAAGTCATCACAATTAAGGTCTAATGAAGAGAGTGATGCTAATGAATTTAAAGTATTCTTTCCAAGTTATTTTAAAGTAAACCATTCTCCGATTGAATGAAAAGTTTGTTACTACAAGGTGGAATTTTAGTGAAAATTATAATTATGTAAACAAAAACAAATCTATGATAGAAAGATTTCTGGGTGAAGAATTTCTAGGACAATAAGTATTGTCAACACCATGAACATTATTTGAAGAATTATTATAGAACTTCATGTATAACACATCATTTGAATGAGACTTATAAGTAGTGTTGGTATATTTCAGGTAGTGAGAGCCTACTGAATATACAAATTAAATACTATGATTGTAAAGTACTGATACAATCATCACTAGATGGTATTAATGGTATAGGAATGTAATTCATGAATACAAATGACCTAAAGATTTTAAGGTTGCTAGAAACCATATGATTCATGGAAATCTAATTGGACAGGATATTATAGTAATACATGTATTAGTATTTTAGTAATATCAGGTATTGAGAATGAAAATACTATACTATATATGTATCTGTAGGAATATGATAGTGAAAGTTATCATCTTGATTTTGTTGTCTACAAAGACATGACTGTACCTGAGCAGGTAGATATTTCTGATTGCTTTATTGTTTATTGGATCAACATTTGTAAATATTTTATTTTATTCATTTATTATTGTTATATATATATATTTATATTATGTTCAAGTAGTTATGATGTAACATGGATATGGATACCAATACATAGCTGAAACAGAGGGAGTTTTGAAGTAAAGTAAGCAGTATGAGGAATAGAAACTCGACCTTCTAAGAACTCTCATATAATAGAAAGTTGTGACTACATCTTGTTCTATGCTCAATGAATGTGATACAAGTGATGTATGAATGGACAGGTTAGTGACATTGTGTTATGGTTTTAAAACAAAACATAAACAGAGGGAATGTAGAATATTGCATATTCTATGTTTCTATTGATTATATATATGGATGTGTGGATTGACATAAGTAACAGATGGTATCAATAAGTCACAAGGCTTTCTTTGTCCGAGAGCTCTGGAATGTGGATTCGGGGGTCTTTTCCTTATATGGCTAGAGTTAAATGCTGACGTTAGTATTAGCACATCTATATAGTAACAGAGGGACACGAGGTCTCTCAGTCTTAGTCCTGTCTTGGCTTGGCTCTCGGCTCTGTACAACGATGTAACTCTCCCATCAGAAGTCCAGCAATTACCATCTGCTGTTGAATGTCCATTATCCTGTAACATCATGTATTATGTTTTATTATGTATCCGTAACAAAGAATAAACCTGAAGAAACCGTAAGTCAGATTGCGTATTACTACTTTTCAATAATATAGACATATATTATTGTGGCGAGCATTTGGCCCAAGAATATATATACAAAAGACGTATATATATCAATCAGCTGAAGACAAGAAGAAATTAAGAAGATTCCACATGAACATCCATTCATCTACATTTTTTACATGCTTATTCTTTACTATATGTAAAGAATATTGTGGATGTAACTTGTGTTACATACACAAGTTACATAATATGTGTGTGTGTATATGTGCTTATTCAGACATACATGCATATATTTTGTAGTTTGTTTTGTTCTGCATGCTAAAGGTAGTTGTTCTCTGCCCCACTCATCATTGTTGGTTTGTTCACCTAAATGTTAATCAAGTATCTGCTTATCTCTAAAGACTTTCTCTGTTATTTCTGCTCCCCCCCCTTATTTTATTGATACCCACCCAAATGGTCTTGCTTGACCAATCCTCACCTCCTCTGTGCATCTCCATTCCATAGTTTTCTCTGCCAAAGACCTACGTATATCCTCTGTCCATACTCCCACCTCTAACGCTCGCCTCCAAGACTTTTCCAGGGCTGAAGCTCTTCTGTGGAACTCCCTTCCCTTCTCCGTAAGAATTTCACCCAGTCTCCACTCATTCAAAACAGCATTGAAAACTCACTTCTTCAAGAAAG